CAAACAAAAAACTTAACTATTCATTGAGATACTCATGAATAAAATTTTAAATTCGAAAATGAATAAAACAGAAAAAGGAAACAATAATCTTGACTCTTTTTCATTACAGTGACTTATTGTACACAAAGTATAGTCCAATACTGTCGAAAAACTAAAACACCATAGACATGATTTTTCAAGATGGATTCTGAAAGTAGACACTAAAATGAATAAAACAGAGAGTGTCTGCAGCTTTTCTACGAACGTATAAGATCATCACCAGTCTTTTTTGCAATTCCAGTTAATTTATAATATTGAGAATCAACGAAATAAAGCAGAATCAAAGCTTTAATCTCAGCTGATTTCTGAGAATAAGCATGAGCATGAGCGACAAATACGTTGGTTTCTATTTCAATTGCAGGAAACATATCGCAGAATGAATCTAATTGTGTACTACCATGATTGTCTCTTGAAATTTCCACGTAATCATCATTGACAAATACAATATATACAACATTACTTCGTCGTTTACTTAGTTTTGGCATAACAAATAGAGCGAAAAACAGTCAACTTATCTGAAAGAAGCAGACAGGAAAGACATACTACTCGAACACACCGTTAGACCTGAATTTTTTCTGAACTTTCTGGAGGCTTCTCGGAAAACCTCAAGATATCTCGAAACTACGTCCGTTGAATTATATCCGTAATTCAATATCCCTTCTTTGAATTGTATATTTCGAAAGGTATGCTTGGAATCTAAAACAAATCCGTTTGCTCTGATTGACTCGATCGGCATTTTGGCGGCTTCCCTCAAATTTAAATTTTTATTCGTGAATATTTCGATGAATAGTAAGTTATTTGCACAAATACAATGTTATTTTTTTTATTCATCCTACTACTTGAGCCCTCAGCGTACTATTATCACATGTATTCCATTCGCCGTTTCTTGTTTGAAATATACAACATGCACATCAAGAAAAATAGTTCTCTTTTATTAAATAGTCATCATTGAGTAAGTATCATAATCATTTCCACACACTCAGAGAAAGACTATTATGCCGACGATTATAATGGAAAACTGTTACAATTTGAACAGTTTGCCACAATTAACGGCTGTTCAGTATTCATTTCCATATATTAAAGCAGCTGTTGATAAACATGAAAGAGCAAGAGTCGAAACAGATGGACAAGAACAATCATGGACAATTGCGGATTACGGCTCATCACAAGGCGGTAATAGTTTAGTTGCAGTGCAATTCATAATTGAACAATTAAAACAAAAATATTCATTGCCCAATGACTGTTCATTCATTGTCGTTTACAATGATTTACCCGAAAACGATTGGTCAATTCTCTTTAAAACTGTTGCAGCATCCATGCCTGCAGTAAACATTTACCCGTTGGCAAGTGGAAAATCATTTTATGAGCAAATATTACCACGAGATTCATTGGATTTTGCCTTTACGTCAACTTCTCTTCATTGGATGTCTCGGGTACCATGTACAATAAAAAACCATTGTTTTTATCAGTTTGCAAATAGTGATGACTATAAATTATGGAAAAGGCAAGCTGATGATGATTATAAAGCATTTTTAAAATGTCGATCAAACGAACTGAAACAAGGTTAGTCTTTGTTCCACTGATGGCTAAAACAGTTCGAATATTTCTGTTGTTCTTTGAATGAAAGTAACCGTATATAACAGGACTGGAGCATACCTATGAGTGAATTCAACAGCCATTGTGGGATCGCTACTCAGTGCGCAAATAAAAGATTTTCAGCTTCTTCTAAGCCGATCTAACTAACTTTTTAATACCTTTCCTCTGAGGTTTTTCTACTTGAGTATCAAATATCATAACTTTATCTCAGTTTTTCTTTATCACATTTTTGTACATGATTTTATAAACAATGAGTCTAATAAACACGACGAGGATTTTCTCTTACAAAAACTACTTTTTCTCGTTCTAAATTGGACGAATAATCAAGAGTCTCGCTGACGACTAAAGTAATGGAGACATCGATGCATCTATAAAAAAGATATTGTTGCTACGAGCTTTCTTTTACCCGCTTAGTATACTGCTATTCTGCAATTAGTTCTTCAATATTTGCGATTCACTTTAACCATTTTACTCGAAATATTTTCGCTTCGTCAGTGAATCAAAACTGCATATTTTAATAATTGATAGAAACACTGTTCAGTGATAAAACGCTTGGAATTAATTTAAAAGTGACTTTTTAGTCGGAAAGGAGCCCATAGGCTTGCGCGAACGCACCAATGTTTGAGGTTTTTGATTTGGCTCGGCGAGCTATAAGATAAATGGCGTCTATGCCTGAAAATGTGTCCTTGTGGCCGCGTTACGTTCAAGGAAGAGATAGAATCAGCCTGATAAACGTTATACTATTTGAGGTGGAATTTTACTGATGGTCTCCATGGCCCGTAAGGATTCATCTGATCGAAGTATGGAGCCTCTCCTTCAAGTATTATGGGATACAGCCGTCGATTTACACGAAAAACTTTTGATAACCGACGAAGAATTATTAATGTATAATGTTCCAATGTATTGTCGTACATTAGATGAACAATGTGCACCAAATTTGTTGGACGACAATCAGTTCGAACTGATTCAGAAGGATCTAGTGGAAAAAATTGATAGTCCGTTTTATACGCAATATAAAAAAGGACATATATCATTAGATGAATTTTCAAAGAAATATACACACTATATGATGACATGTACTGGATCAGTATTTCGGAATTGTTTAAATAGAAACCGCTCCATGGATAGTACTGAACAATTGATGGAACAGTTTTTCATTGAACATGAACGTCGAGTCAAATTAAACCCAGAAAACTATGCTCTTAATCCTTGTAGATCCTTTATTATATTAAGAAAGTTGGGTTCGAAGAAGCGAACAAAACACGTTACAAGGGAAAGCAGTTGTAAATTATGTTAGAGAAAATTCGCATTAAAGGAAAACATGGAACAGAGACACACTTATAAAAAGATAACTACAGAACTTGTTTTGAATTTAGAATCGATTAGCAGTAAAGTTTAAGTTTGAATATCTGACTTTTTTCACCGCTATTTCAATAAAACTGGTCAAAAAGTAGCTTTTTGAATGCTAATATTTCTCCACTGATTTAGGAGCTGAAAAGCTCAGAATATATCTTCTACAGTAGCATTCATAATAATTTTTATTTAATTAAAATATTCAACGTTTCGGTTACTCATGCAGCTATTTTCCAGAATAAATACGATGTGATAACTAACTACCGGCGCTGATCTCACTGTGCGCACACAAAGGTGCTGCTCATTTTTTCCAATAGATTACTTTTTATCAACTCTTATATATAACACATCAAAGAACACATTAACTGTGCTAATTAATTATAGGTAATATACATATTCTCTTTGGCCTTATCACTTGCTAATATGGTCTTAAACAAATAGTAAGAGTGATTTTTCGCCACCGTTGTCATAGTGGGTCTGTTCAAGTATTACATAGACTAATAATAGAATCGACTCATGATGCTGCTGAACTACCCGAAAAATGCCTACATTTTCTCTACGTTTCCCTCTGAAGCTCCGAAATATTTTTCTTCTGATTCGGCATCAAAAATGAAATTTAAAAATGCCTTTTACGTGCTCGTAACCTAGAACTTGGCTAGTAGACTACAGTAGCACTTAGTTCACCTTCCAACTTCAAAGAAAGCCATCTGATTGATCTTTCTTCCTTCTTCGCGCTTATAGAAGTGGGTGGACATAAAAATCAAGAAAACGAGAAAAGAACAATTTTTCTATTTTAATCTAGTAGTTTTATATGCAGCAGCTAGATAAACTCTTTTTGACTAGCATGACTTTTCGGCTTTCTCTTCGGGTCCTGATAATCAGAGATAATGTGTGTTCAATCCTTACTTATGGAGTGAATAATCACATAAAATGAAATAAACCAGAAATGAAAAATATCAAAATAAGATTAAATCAAGATTAGATTTTTTCTTTAGTTTTCATTAGTTTAGTTTAGATATTTTCACAAGAAGTTGACACTGATGAGTAGATAAAATGAGCCTAGTTTCGTCTCAAACGGTCAACAAATAAGAGAGTTATAGATAAAATAAAACAAATAATCTTGGGTGCCATTTAGCGTGACAGTCGTTATTTTTAATTCTGTTTCAGATTTTTTTCTTAACTATGATATGATGGTATGATCACGGTGCTAATCAGTGACATATTCTGAAACCCCAGATTGTTTGCTATCTTGCCATTCTTTGACTTTTTTACGTTTCTTATAAAACTAAGTATATTTAATATAATTGAAAAACATTTTTGTAAAATCATTTTACACAAAAAGCGAGCTTTCGATACTTCACAGTATCATCAT